CATAGTGTCTGGGTACGCAATTCACTCCGGTCTCAACAGAGCGTGCATCACCCCAGCTGGTGCAAAGTAAACCACGGCCACGGGCCCCAAACGTGGGCCATGGAAACGTGAGCACTTGTGTTTGTGTCATCTCCTTCTCTACCTAGCGCTTCCTGTGCGCGGGGTGCCCAGACCTGGAGACTTCTTTACGTAGCGTGGACCCTGAAAGGGAGTGCTTGGTATACAAGTTGTCGGGGAGAAAGTCACCAAGGATGATCGAAAGAGACAAACATACATGAAGCTCCAACAGGTGAGACCTCGTTCGAGGGCTGTTGGACCTTATTTTTTCTCATTTGGTGGTCTGTTTTCCGTCGGATTCCTGGTAATTAATACGCAAGTCTTGAACACCCTAGGGCTCCAACCACCTCCGTTTCGAAGCTGCTTGGGGTGTGCGGTTACCAAGGAGGGGTTTACTACCCATGTCTGTGCCCACCGAACCCTGAGGGGGGTGGGTGGACACCCATCTCAGATCTCAACTCTCCCAATTCCACGTGTCCGAGCCCCGTACCCCAATCGCTGGGTGTTTGGAAACAGGCGCCTGAGGCCGTCCAGCCGCTGCGTGGATCGGTTTCGGGCGACCATAGGTGGGTCGTGCGTTTTTCTCAGGTCGAAGCAGTGAAGGTGTGTTGGTCACAGCCCCGAGTTACACCTGGTGTCCGCCGGAATAGGATCAGACGTCGACTGGTTCCGACGGTCCGAAGACCCACGTCGGGTGTGGTTTTTCAGGTTCCATGGGTTCCAGGGTGTATTTGACGTAGACTGTAGATCATAGAACCACCCCAACGGCAAGATGTAAATTACACCGCCCTGAGAGTGTTGGGAGCACAGGGTTCCCGGGAGGGTTCCGGGATGTGCCATCCATGTATTTTTCCTCGCTATTTGGCACCTCTAGATGGCGCAACTACAGGGAGAGGGGTCAGCAAAAAGCAAATTCAAAAAATACGAATTTGCATGAATTTGCCAAAAAAAACTATAGATGACACGATGCACCTTTGTCACCCATTCAACCCCGATACAAATCAATCCAAACCCATCAGCACCCATCCTACTTTGTTTTCTGCTCTTTCTCGTGCTTTTTCTTTCTCTTTGTCTTTCTCTTTTTGTCCAAAAGGATTGAGCTAGTTCTGCTTTCAATAGAGTATACAGATGGAGCCTGCCGTGAGAGGTCTCCGAGTACGGATGTCTGTTTGGCTTAAGCCCGCCCTTTTTAAAACTGTCTGGAAGCAACTCTACTGTGGTACTCTGACGCTCGTAGATGGTTTTCTACAACTGACCCCTTTCGCCCTCCTGGGCTTCGCTTCGCCCGATCCGCTTCGCCGCGATCGCTCCGAATGGTCGGAACTCACACCCAGCAGACCGGTGGAAGCGGTGCGGTGGAAGCGGTGCGGCGTGGCGGGGTGTTGTGACGTCCGTAGTATGGGAAGCGTTCGGCGTATTTTCTGAGGATCCCAGGCCGAAGTCCTCCAGATTCTCGGTAACTCTCATCGGAACAGGGCTTTGAGGCACCTGCCATCGGATGTTGGTTGAAGAACCAACTCCGGGCGGCTCACTGAAAGTGCTGATGGAAAAAGCCCATGGTGTCCTTATGTTTCCTTGAAGTGGCTTGTCAGGTTTGCTTGGAAACAGCCTAGATATAATATATATAGAGAGAGACTAATATAGATTCAAGTTCAATCATTACCGTGAACAGCCCCCCAAGCGATCTTGCAGGTGGTGAAGAACCCACGTCGGATGAAGAACCCAAAGGATCCCTGGCGCCTACATAAAAATGTCTACAATCACCCAGCTCTCAGAGGGTCATGCAGAATCTTGATGAATAATCCACCCACACATCAGATTCAAAAAACTCATAATGGAGGATGTTTTCATCAAACTTCTATACATCCCAAACTCTCCAAACAATCGGTCCAAGCGCTTGGGCGTTCGCCGCACAACGTCGAGGGCGGGCGGCCCCTGCCATGAGGTCGTCGAGCGGCGTAGCTGGAAAGCCTGCGATGAGGACCAGTGGAGCGGAGATCGCGTGGCTTTCGTGGCTTTTGGGGTTTCGGACGCCATAACACGACCTGGAACACCTGGAAATGGAATGAAATGGGTCTGGCAGATTGCCTGGAGATGATCAAGTGAAGTCAAGGGACCCTAATGGATGTACCTAGACCAGACTGTCCCAGTACCTTAGAACACGGGACGTCTGACCCGAAAAAAGAACATGTACGACGTGTACCCATGTTCTGAAGTACTTTGACGGGTCGACTCCAGGTAAATATTCCCTGTGGGGTGGGGCCTGGGGGAGATGAGAAACTCGAAGAAATCGACCATGGCCGACTTCTTCGCATGGGGGTAGATCGATTAAACATCTTAGTAGTGATGGATTGAACATCTCACGAACCCCTGAGGCGGCGAAACCCGTCTTCTTTCACTCGCTCATGTCGAATAGGGCGCCGAGGGACTGAACATGACTGAACGAAGCTCCGGTGTCTGAAAATGGGTTTTGGGGGTCCGTCTTCACGCTGAAAGACCGACCTGGCGCGAAGGAACGTGAGGCTTCGAATTAGCCCGACGGCGCGAAGGAAAGATGCCGGGCGGGCGAGCGATTCTGGAGTCTTGTCTTCCCTAGGAACCCAGCCGTATCTTCTCAGTCAGAAGGTACGACTGGAGCCTCCAAATCTAGATAGCGGTGTCTCCGTCCTCACCTGCTGAGGTACGGTACGACTGGATCCAGGTCTTTTAAAACAACCCTTCGGATCTTTTCGTGTTTTTCAGCCGCTTTTTTCTGTGTTTCCCGACTTCCGAAGTTAAAGAAGTTGCTGCGCACCCCCTATCGGAACCACCCCGAAGACTGAAGGGTTCCTGGTCGGAATGGTTTTGAGTCCCATCGAGTCAGTATACATCATGGGCACCCTTATCCTCCAAGCTCGGCACCCCGAACTTCATGTAACTGCAGGTGAGCCGCGGCTTTTTTTGCGCGACGGCGACGGCGACGCGATTTCTGCCTCCCAGGTCACTGATGTTGCCACTCACAGGTCCTCAGTGCTTCATCTTTCGTAGTGGAAAGAATGAAGCCAGCTGTTTCGCTCCAAAGAAGCCACTCAAGCCACTGCTACACTCGTTTCTTTTAGAATCCTCAAACACACATCACACACGGTCTCACATCACGTTATGTGAATGGCATGGTCCCTTGGAAGACGACTTTCCCTTTGCAAGCAGTGTCTTTTTCGACTGTATTAACGGGTTCGGAGTGTATAATATATACCTGGACCCTCCTTCGTGACATGACCCCAACAAAAAATATAGGTAATTGTATCCATTTTCAATTATACCTGTATTTTCCAGGTTCATGCATGGAGCTTGCTGAAAAAAGCACCGGCTCGATGTTTGGCCTTCTCCCACACCTTCGCTTGGCTGCTTTTGAGCAGATTCGGTCTGCCCCATTATCTGAAACAAACATGGATCGATTTTGCTGAAGAGAAATGAGTTCTTCCCTCGCAAAGGTACCAAAGAATATGATAGGAGGCATGTGGATGACAAATATATGCAAACGATGCATGTTCATATTAAAAGCATCACAAGCATTCAAAGCAATGTGAGAGCAGCATTCTTCGGCAATATATGCTATGAATGCTTGTAGTTAGGGTGAAGATGGCTTTGGGTGGCTGTGTTCCTAGCACTTGGTGGACTTGGTGGACTGGGCATCGCGTGACATTCTGAAACTCACTGCGGGGAAACCAAGTCGCCTGGAAACTGGACACAGCACTTCAAAAACCTGCCTCCTCCAGTTCCAAAGCGCCATGAGGTTCCCACTCCAGCTTCTTCCTCTTAGTGAAAAGGAAGGCAGTTTAAAACCTGGTCCTTCTCCAAACCTGCCTTGCCGACCTGACTCTCCAGGCAAACCGATTTTGGTTGCGTTGAGTTCTCCCAGTGGCCTGGCGTTAAAGCTGGTCTGACTGACCTCATTCATGCTGGTTTTGCATTTTCCCGGATCCAGTCAAATGAGGTTCGTAAGTCTACTACGACCCACAGTCGGGGTGGTTAATGGACACCCCGAATCACCTCTTTTCGGGGCTATCAAGTTCGACACGCCTGGTCCGGGTGTCCTGGTCGGATTCAATTAGATATAAAATCGATGATTCTACCCTGAACACCGACTCCTCCACCCACCGAGTGCCAAATCGCCCGCGGAGTCGCAGCCACGGCGGGTGCCCAAGGTCGCGCAGTTGGACCTGGAAGAACGAGGCCCTCGTGGACGGAAGAGTTAGCATACCTGCTGGGGGGTCCATGTAGGTAAATCTACCAGTTTGATGGAAGACGACTACCTGGACCCTCTAAAGTACCTCGGAAAATTGGTACAAGTACCTGTTTTTATGAGGTCATGTCCCATTTTCTAAGGTACTTGAAGTCGGGTCCAGGTACATTGGAATATGTCTACATTGGAATATTTACGTGGAATATCCCAAGAATTCCCAAGATACACCTGGATCTTCCAACTATACCAAAATTATGTTTTTTGGCTGTTCGTTACGGACAAAAGGGCAGAAAATTGTCACAGTTGGAAGATCCAGGTTTAGAATATTGACCACTCAGTTGGGGTGGTTGATTGATTTCAGGGGTCCATGTAGGTAAGTATGCCAGTTTGGCATGCTTTGACCCTACCAGCAGCACCTGGAGACCTTACGATCAAGGAGGAAACCTTACGATGTTGCCCAGTTTGGTCCCTGTGCCCACGGCCGCCATGGGAAGACGAGGTTCCAAATACCAACAACTGAGGGCATCGCTAGCAGGAGCGATCGGACGCTACGAACGTCGCTTGTGGCCTTACTACTATAGGAGCAAGGACGCTACGAACGGGGCTCCTGGCCTTACTACTAGTAACAAGGTTCGCTACGAACGTAGCGATGGGGTGGTGCCTCCTCGCCCCGCCCTGCTCGCAGGCCCAGGCCGCACCGAGGAGGCACTCAACTCGCTGCTTTTCTGCGACGACTTGGCGAAGTCCCAGGTGGTCGCCGCTCTTAGGCACCGACGCTCAACGAAGCTCTTTCGCTCGAGAAGTGGGTCTGGAAACACCCAACTGTCATGACTTCAAGTGGACACCAATCGCAATACCGCTTGGAAAAGACCAGTTGTTGGCATACTCATCTGAATCATCATCCATGAACAACCATGCGTGGTTTCCCCATGATTTCTCTGAGGACACGGAGTCCCTTCGGACCCATCTCCCATGCCACATCCCACATCTTCCATCGCATCTTCAGACGTCGGTGCCGTGATCGGTCGCGTTCCGGTCGCGTTCCTTCAGATCCCACGTTCCGTTTCAACTTTCTTTGGCCAAAGAAAGTATGAAGCCCTTCAGTTTCAACTGGAACCTGTCCTGAACTGAGTTCTCGACTCACAGGCTTCGGCAGGGCTCGCCCTTGGCATCGCTCCATGCAGTACGTGTACGCAGGGATCGAAGGCATCTATTTCCAGTGAAGTTCCATGTGAAAGGGTCACTTGACTCAGAGAGGCACAGCCTCTGAAGCAACTGGGTCCAATTTGCTTCACAGAGTCGGGAATGCTTAAATCTCTCAAAGCACTGCAATCGCAAAAGGCACCGTAGTTGATCTTTTGCACAGATGGAGGGATGTAGATCGCGGGCAGCAAGCGACATGCACGAAACGTGAAGGCATTGATGACTTGGAGAGACGTCGAAAGGGTCACGTTGGACAAGGACTTGCAGCCCATGAAGGCCTCTTCCCACAAGTATGTCACAGAGTCCGGTAAATCGATCCTGGTCAGAGCGCTACAGTTTTTAAATGCTTGGTTGCCAATGGTTGTGGCGGCCCCAAGCGTGATCGTCGTCAGTGAGGTGCACTCCTTAAAAGCCTGGGGTCCGATGATGATCACTGATGGGATGCTCACGCTGAGTAAGGAGCTGCAACCCGAAAATGCAGCCACTTTGAGGACCTGCACGTCAGGAAGACTCACAGTGACCTGAACGCGGTGCGGGGCGAAACGTGGTCCAAAAGAAGGACCCCAAGGGATCCAGTCGTACCTTCTCAGAAGGTGATTGGAGACTATTTATGTAGGCTTGGAGGGTCCAAGTACCTTCTGAGAAGGTACTTGGATCTTTAGGGGATCGGTAAGAACCTCAACAATTTCTTAGCTTCCAGTAGCTCCTGGCACGGGCTACTAGGAACAAGGTTTGCTACCAACGGAGCTCCGGCATCGCTACAAGTAACCAAGGGGATGGATCGCTACGAATGGAGCAATTCAATTGTCACCCTATGATGGATCAACGTAGCCTCCTATTGAAGGTGATGGTATGTGATGGTCTTAGCCTAAACAGCGCTGTACGGCTGCAGCATCCGGGATCCGTCGCCGAAGAGGTACGGATCCAGGGATCCCTAGGGTCACAGTGGAAGAAGAATTCCAAGCTGTCATCAGCTCTCTCTCCTGGAATAGGCTAGTTGTTTCATGTTGTTTCCATATTTCGAGGCCGGAGGATCAGTGTCGGCTTTCACGAATCTTCCCAAAAGAGATGCCGGAGTCGTTGACTGCTTTGTGGGAAGCATCATTCTTCAGTCACTTCAGTCAGCTTCAAGTTCTGAAGATACCAAAGAGCTGCAAATCGACCACTAAACATGATCAGAGTAAGACCTTTCAAACAAGAGACCAAAGAGCGGCATCTGGCAAAGGCATGGGGGTCCAAACGTTCAACTCCACTTGGTACCTGGACCGCCCGCAAGTCTTCCACTGCCAAACCCGATTCTAGAAGGCTTGCGGTCTCGATGGGTGGACTCAAATAGAAACACATGTCCAGACCACACGAAGTCGAAAGGTCCCTGGTCGCTGCCAGATTCTCCAGCGTCTCATCCAGATTCTCCAGTTTCTCACCAGCCATCAGCAGGTCCACCTCACTCAACATGGCCTTGGCGAAAAACAGGAAGACATCTCTTTTCAAAGCAAGCCCCAAGTCCCAAGACCATCACGTCTAAAACCTTTTATTCAAGCAGTCATTAAACATCTGCGATCGGCTACAAGTCACACTCAGTGGGTCCAGAGACCTCTCCACTTGCAGATCTCGCAGAAGACGTTCTTTCAGCTCCCTGATTGTCAGCTCTGCTTCCACTTCCAAGATCTTCTCTTCGCCACTCAGCTGTCTCACTGGAATCCGCATGTTGCGCGCGTTTAAGCCGCCGCGAGAGAAATCCGGTCCCTTGGTGGAAGCGCGGCTCCGCACCAGCCAAGAGAGGTTGCTTGTGACCTGAAAAAGGACCCCTCACCTGAGCTACCCTAACTGGGATAGTCGAAGGAATCGGCTTCTTCAACCGAAGGTACCGGAACCACTCGAAAGGAGCACCGTTCGAAGCAAGCGGACCGCCCGGCGGCACACACCGCCCGGCACGGGCCGAGCCATTCAAGGCTGCGCCAGCGACCAAGTGGTGTCCAAACACGTGGCAAAAAAGCAGTGAAAACCTCGCAGCTGACCCTTTGATGGTGACAAAAAATACACATCTTTCAAACCTGCTGTTCTCTAGTGGAAGTGTATGACAGTGTCCACAGGGTGCCAAAGTGTATGGTAGACTCGGTACCACTGCCCAATCGTCCGAGCAGCGTCGTTCGGTTGAACAGAAGGGTGCGGTGCCGACGGAACTCCAAGACTTGCTCAGTCTATGCCTGGACCCTCCCTTCGTCGAGGTGTTTTTGCGGGTGACAAGAGGTCCGCCACCTGTTAGGGTCCAAAAACCACCTGGCCAGGAGGGTGCTGGTGTATATGGAAATATACTTACAAGTATACTTACATAATGCCTTATACAGCATCATTTACTTCATTTACTTCATTCATGACGCCAATGTATACTGTACCAGCACCCCACCATAGCCTGTTTGGAGAGAGGATACCGCAGGTGGACACCTTCGACGTTGTCACGTGGTCACCAAACACCGAAACGGAGGGTCCAGGTACTACCCAGCATAGGCGTGACTATTCCAGGTTCATGGAGTGGGGATGATCCCCAGCTGCACATCCCTGGGTTGAAGCGAGGTCGAGGGAGCGAGGTGTGTTTGGCTGGTCGACGAAGGGAGCAGCTCCATACCATCGACCACTCAGGGCGAAAACGAAGAAAAGACGCATGGAAAAGCAACCCACCCCGTCAGGTTTCATCAGTTTCTGCTTTCAGTGGATACCGGTAGGGAACACAAACAGAAAGGGGTTCCAAGAGTAGCATTGCAGCCACGAAAGAGAGAGGCCGTAGCTGCTGGCTTGCTCATCTTCATATACCATCATACCATGTGATTGGTACACAACTGTCTGTCTATGCCATCCGAAACCATATCTAGAGCCTCAAGAACCACGGAGATGTTTGGTTTAGGCTTGGCAAGAAGCTCTCAGTGCTATCTCCATTCGTGTCTTGCACATGCGAATCTTGGATTTGCTGGAACCCGAAAGCGAAAAAGATCCATCTCTCTTCCCCAGGACACCAGGGGGGATTCATCCATTCGGAAACCGATTATGGTCCTGAGTCCCAGCCAAGCAAAGCCTTTTCAGAGACCCCCGCTTGGAGGGCATCGGGGACACCGGAGTCTTGGGCGCAGGTAGCCTCAGCCCACGGTCGAGTGAGTCGAGCGCCTAGAGAGCGGACGGGCATGGGAGATGTGGATGGGAGATGTACATGATGTACCCGCTTCGGCTGAGAGAACTTGAGTGACCCATCCAATCTAACTTGGGCCCTTTCTTATGACATCTGGGGGTGTCTGGTAGATTTCAATCTAGGTGAATCGTCCAGTTTCATGAAGCGTTTAGATGTTGAGTGTTCTAGAAGTTCCAGCCCAGGTTGGGTGTATGAAATAGCCTTCAAAGACAACTTTTAAAAAGTGGACCATGGATGTGTAGTGTACAACCCTCATTAAAACAATGGTTCTTTGGTGAAGACCATTGAATCCTGGGGCATATAATTAATTATATATAGACCCTCCCTACCATGTATTTAGATTGCAATGACCCTGCTATTTTTGGTTCCAAGCCGACAACCGCCCTGGCTGCGAACCAGTTGCGGCGATTCACATGTTGGCAGTGGCAAGGAGGACTGGCGAGATCACAGCAAATCAATGTGGTTTTATTCAGTGAGAATCTTGGATGTGTTTAATGAGGAACCGAACAAATATATCCTGAGATATCCTGAGAAGGGGATTCATCCAGTTCGGGAAAATACAGTAACAAATGCAAATCCAGTCCAGGACGAATGGTTTTCACATGTTTCATGAAAAAAACATGGCTCCGGCGGCTGGGAATAAGTGTGTGTTCAGTGATTCCTGGATTCCTGGCCAACCAAAACGACCATCAAGCAATTGGGCAGGGGACCTCCACCGCTGAAAACCTACGGACAGAGAAGGTGACGACCGCCTTGGCAGGCGCTTGACTCGCCATGGCCCTTGACCTCGGACGTGGGAAGCAAACGAAGGAAGCGGACCTGACAAGCTCAAGCACCTGTTTCTTGTAGATGCAGGACAGCACCTGTCCTGTTCGTATTGTTGATTTCTTGTTTTTTTCCTGTAGATGCAGGGGAGCACAAAAAAAACGAGAGTCTTTCATTGTGGCAACGCTTTCCCTTCCCATTTTAGGATACTTCACTGATTCTGCATGAGATCTGCATCATCCCAAAAAAACGATCCAATACAGATTCCCAAGTAAAGCCAAGGCTGCCATGACTCGACTGTTGGGCTTGACAGGTGAACATTCGTCTTTGGCTCTCGGCAAGGTGGTCTCGATCTTCTCAAAGCCCTTCTCGCTTTGGCCATCCTCGCCAGCCACGACTCGTGGCAAAAGCATCACTTGAGCGGATTGATTGAACGTCCATCCATCCCGATACAGTCAGTCTGAGTCAGTCTAGTCCAGTCAGTCAGTCCTATAAGTCCAGTCAGTCTCTACAAGCCTAGAAGTCCAGTCAGTCTAAGTCTCCAGGTCCTTGTCTCTAGGTCCTGAACATCCACCTTTTCGTCACTTGAGTAACATGGGGGTGATCTAGTCTCCACTTAACATGGGGGTTCAACTGACCTGCTATAGGGTATACAGCGGTATACAGCGGTAATCAGGATGGATGGCAGATCAATTCCCTGAGCACTGCTTGAGCACCTGTTTCACCCCAGGACATTCGACATGGCATTGGCGCAAGGGACGCCCAGCACCGAACACTCGAGAGTTGGGTAGCAGTCATAGCCACAGGGTTACATGAATTTTTGGCGCACAGGCACGCAGAAGGCAGAGTTCCAACAGTGAGAATGGGGGTCCAAAATGGTTCATGTTTGGATGGACTCGTCTGGCACCACTGAAGGAAGGTCCATGCTGAAGGCTAGACTTGGAAGGCTACTCTCCTAGCCAGGCCTATACCCTCCGACAGGTCACCAATGGTTCGACCTGACACAGGGTCCAACAACCCTCAACTAACAGCCTGGCCAGGAGGGTGCTGGTACATGCTGGTACACATGTTGTGTGCCTTTGCAGCCAGGTCCACAACTCGTCGAGACGAGGTCCACGACTCGCAGCTGACGCCTGGGGCGTCGTCGCCCGTGGCCTGGAGCGGGCGAGGTTCGAGCTCAGACTCTTCACCTTCCCGCCCTTCAAAAGAAGGCTTCAGTGTATATACCTGGACCCGACTTCAAGTACCTTAGAAAATGGGACATGACATGGACATGACCTCACAACAACAGGTCACTGTACCCATTTTCCAAGGTACGAACAGGTCGACTCAAACATGACTCGACTTTCATCATCTGCAAGGCCGACCGTTTCTCGCCCGGTTTTCCCCGGGGCCATCTGACCTTTCATTGGGGTTCCCGGACACCGTGGTCTCCATCGCGCGCTTGGGGACCGGCTCCGCCAGAAATTGCGGCTCCTGCAGTTGGCAAAAAATGCACCAAGCCACCTGTTAATAGCTGGCAACAGGAAAATAGCTGGAAAGAGACCACAATCTATTCATCTCTATCTGCATGCAGCTTGGTTCATTGTTGCAGTTTGATCTCTTTGCAAAGGTCTTGAACTCCTTCGCCCAAAAAACGCTTTCTCGTAGTCTATCGCCTTCACATGCCCACCCTGAGTTGTTCATCACCAACCCTGGATGGGTCCCGAGTTCGGATGACGAACTCCGACGACCTGTATAGCTTTCACCACTCCACTTCGTGAAAGGTCTTCGGATGACTCGTCATCCAAGTCGGCCAATCCGATGCCGGTGAACGTATACCTTCCTTCCTCGGATCAGGGGCGCCGCGGCTCCTCCTTCTTGTTCCCCAGGTACCTGACACATGTAGGACGTCCAGGTACGCCCCAGACGACCCCGTTTCCGCGCTCGGATCGGACGCGACGTCTCCGACTTCACAGGTGGCGATTTCCACCTGTGAGGGATCGACTCCCAAGCCTCAACGAACGACATGTTGGAGGGCTTTCTCATTTTCTCTTGATGAGGTTTCTGATTTGAGGGTTGATCGGTCAATCTTCCATACATGGCCAGGATGGGCCAGGGCAGTTCAACCAACTCAGGGAGCATTTAGTTGTCAGTCACAAGGCCAAAATCATACCCAACAGATCCAAACGGAACAGCTTCGGAACTTCAGCATCCAAGAAGACACCAAGCCGCAAGCTTAAGGTGTATCTGAACAGCATAAAGAACAAACACCACATGAAAATGACTCAACAACAGCACTTCAACAAAGCCGCTGAACCTGGCCGCGCCCTGTAGACTTCATACACTCCAATCAAGCCATCATGGAAGTGGAACGCAGGCCTTCCCAAAATGTTCCTCTCCTAAAGGGAGTCGGGAGGGTGTATCTTGGATTTGCCAGGGGCATCATCTCCCCAGGGATCCACCTCAAAACGGGGAAACAAACACATCCACCCAAACAAAACATCCCCCTACCACCCCCTACCAGGACCTTCCAAGTCCGGTGGTCTTTGGACACCCCTTCACCACCAAATGCGGCATATGTTTGTTTACACGCTCTTGCAAGTCTTGGTGTCGGTCCTGGTAGAACCCAAGCAAGCAGACCGCTCCGGGGGCTCCGCACGTGATCAATTCTCGGCCCTTTGAGCCATCCACCATGAATTCATTGGGACACCTGGGAGGCTCCACGACTCGACTGGCCCGGACGGAGTCCTCGAGTCGTTCGGAGTCTAGTGTCGGACTCTGGGACTGGGGAGTTCTCGAGTCTAGTCTACCAGTGTCGAGTCTATTGGGAGTATCTAGGATGGTGTAAGCTCCTCCACAGGTCTGAAGGTACAAATGCCCCTGCAACTCATTCGGCTCTTAATGCCTGTGGGTACCAGTTGACCTACCAATCCTACCACACGTCTGGCTGCGAACCTGCAAACCGCCTACCACACGTCTGGCTTCTCCCGGTCGGAGAAGTGCATGTCATGCGCCCCGACTCATCCCCAGTCCCACCACCCGAACACCGGGGTGTCTATCATTGTCAACAAAAACCTCCAAAAAACCCTCGGGCGAACGGGTCGGTTCGGTCAAGTCGTCTGAGCGTCTCGTCTCGGTCGTTCGCTGTCTGTCGGGGCTGTCCGTCGTGCCGAACTGCTGACAGCTGGGACCGCTGAGGAGGCATAGACCGAAGCGGAGGAGGCACGGTCTCACGGAACGGAGTACATGGTGGCAAAGCACACGAGAACTTAGCTCGGCCGGAGAGTGCAC